CCAACACCAGCGCCCTGTGGCTCGGCTACAACTTCATCACGGTGCTGGGGCCGCGCTCCTTCCCCCGGCTGCCGGGGCTGCGGCTGCTGAGCCTGGCACACAACCGCCTGGAGCTGCTGCACAGCCACGCTCTGCTGGGGCTCGGGGAGCTGCGGGAGCTGGACCTCAGCCACAACCGCCTCACCCTGCTCACCCCCGACACCTTCCTGCCCCTCACCAGCCTGGCCACGCTCAACCTGGGCAGCAACAGGCTGGGGGAGCTGGAGCCGGGGGTGCCGGGCGCCTTGCCCCAGCTCCAGGCGCTTCTCCTGCAGGACAACCCCTGGGTGTGCAGCTGCGGCATCCTGCCCCTCTGGCGCTGGCTGAGCCACAACAGGGAAAAAGTGCGAGGTGAGTGCCCAGAGGGCTGTGTCCTCCAGCCCCCACCTGCTCCGTGTTGGCTGCTCACCCTGCCAGGGCTGGGGCAGGACCCAGAGCCCGGCTGCCCGAGGGCTCGGCTGCTCAGCACCCTTGGGCTCAGCTTCTCCAGAACCCGGCTTTAGTCGTGCCAGCTCCTGCGTCTGCTCGGGTGGATGCAGCCCTGGGTCTCAGCTGTGCCCACGCTTTGATTCTGGTCAGCAGCAGGGATGGCCTGGAGAGGAGCTGGGCAATGTCCCAGTGCCAGGCACCCAGAGCTGTCCCCAGCAGTGGCACCGGTCCTGCCACATGGCACCTGAGGGAGCAAGTGGAGCCTGTGTGTCAGGGTGCACATCACTGCTGGCCCATCCAGGGTGCAGCGCTTTCAGTCCCTTCCCCAAAGCCTTCCTGAACCTGGTTTTCATCCTGCATTTCTTCCCCCATGACCCTCAGTGAAAGACAGCTCTGCCAGCACAGTCTCTCCCACCACTGCTGCCCTCTCCTGCTTCCTTCCAGCTTGCATGTGTGACTGCACTTGTGCTGGCTGGGACCTCCTGTGGTGTCTCCAGGCTGGCTGCTCACTGCTCCCCACATCTGTGTTCTGGGAGCCAGTCCCTCCCCCTTGCTGCCCCACCTGCCATCCTGCCCCAAACCCATCTTCCTGTGCCCCCTCCAGC